CAGCAACAATTCTTTCTAACAGTCTACAAGACCCTATACCATGGATTGGCAAACTACAGCCCCAAATCCAGACAACTTCAAACTTTTGTATGCTCGTGAGTTAAGGCTTTATATTTTTAAATGGTTGGGAAAAAAATCAAAAAAAGAATTATAGTTCACGATGTGTAAAAATTACATGGAATTCAAATTTTAATCTCCATATATGAAGTTATTGGAACACAGCCATGCCCATCATTTACGTATTTTCTATGGCTGCTTTCTTGTTACAAGGACAGATTTGATTGGTTTCAATGGAAATCACATGGCCTGAAAAACTTAAAATATATTCCATCTGGTCCTTACAGAAAAAATGTTCCAGCTCTTGCCTACTCTATGTGACCTGTGCCACCTTTTTGGTTCCTTTTCCTAATCCTCTTCCCCTCATCTGCAACTGTCTAGGCACAGTGGTCTCCTGGCCACTCCTTGATTTCTCTAGACATAATCTCACATTAAGGTCTTTGCATTGACTTTCCTCTCTAACTAAAAGTTCCTCCCCCAGGTATTCCATATGGTTGACACTTTCATCTCTTCCAAGAATCATTAAATAAACTAAATCATTAAATAATCTTCTCAGGCCTGACCTATCTATTGAAAACTGCAACCACTGGCACCAGTAACCTCTCACATACACACTAATCACTACAGCACTACTAATCCTAATTATTTTACTGTATTTTTTTCCTTCATGGCATTCAATGTATTTATTCATTTACTGTCACAAGGTAGACAGGGGTTTTTGGCTTGTTTGTTTTTATCTATTTTGTTCACTGATGAATTCCAAGCACCTATGACAGTTTTTGGCCTATAATAGGTATTCAATATATTTTTATTTTGTTGAATTAATGAAAAATAAAAATAACTTACTAGAAATTTACCATTCATTTTTCTAAGCACTTTGCATGCATTAACTCCATCAATCCCTAGTGCTACTCCGTTCAGTACTCTACTGTAATTATTCCTCTTATGGATAAGGAAATTGAAGCAGTTAAGTAACCTGCCCCAGGTCACATGGCTTGCAAGTGGTGAGACTGGGGGTTCTCAAGTCTTGCTTTTAACTACTACTCTGATCACACAACAAAGCTAATCAGGCTAAAGGACTAGATGGAAGTAAAAAGAGAGGAAAAATGTGGTGCCATTATGAACTACACAATTGGCAAGCTGGAGTTAATAGACTCCACAATTGGCAAGATATACCAAATAAAAGATATTGCTGTGAACTGAACACTTCCCGTAAGTCTGTGGCTGAACGGTGAGAAGACATATGAGAAGAAAGTGGTTTTTACTGAACTTTCATTTGGCAGAAATTTTAGATTGTTCCATTTAGCCCCAAAAGTGATAGCACTAAGACCAAGAAATAAAAGCAATATGTTGGACAGATTTGGTTCAATCTAAGGAATTTTCAACAATTCTGTCCCAGTATGAAATCTTTTATCTCAAGAAGGATTATGTTCCCTTCCATAGAAAATGTTCAAACTGAACTCAGATGATACCCAAAGGGAGCTTGTAAAGGAGACTCACATCTTATGGATGCTTGGAGAAGATCACTTTTTAAAGTCCTCTTCCTGAGCTCATATTTTTTATTACACATCTTAACTTGACATAAGTGAAAGTACTTACAAAATAGTAGTGCTATACCCAGTAATATGGCAAGGATCGCCCATTTTCCAAGTATTACTCCCGCACTCCTTGAAGCCGAGAGACACTGACTCGGATGAGTACAATCACACAGATTAACTCGCAAGTTTTTTGTTGCAGATTGACCTGCTCTATCTTTCACAGTAATAGGAATGATATATTCTTGAGCTTCAGCATTTTTCCGATATGAAAGCCGGGCAGCCGTATCTGAAAAAAAATAAAAGAATTTTATTTTAAATGACCATTTATTTCTCCCTTAGCATCTGCTTCATCACACTTGTTTTAAAGGCACTATTCATGGAGTTGGCCAGTTAGCTCAGTTGGTCAGAGCATGGTGCTGACAACACCAAGGTTCAGGGTTCAATCCCTGTACTGGCCAGATGCCAAAAACAAAACAAACAAACAAAGGCTCTATTCTAGAGGAATCACTTGTCACATGAAAATAAATAAAAGTGGAGAACTTTATTTAATCTTTTCAAGCACTAATATTACCTTATATGTGCTGCCCCTGGTAATTGTTTAGAAGAGAGCTCTAAAAAAAAAAA